TAATTATTAGGATTTTTGGCTATACGAGGTTTTTTGAAGTAGAATTAGTTACTACTTCCAATTTGAAACAAATTTATATTTTGAAGAATTGATAGGGATGCGTTCAGCCAAAGCATTTGTGACTAATCGTAAGGGGAACTTTGATTTATTATTGGATATAAAACAGTTTTGAATTTAGGAATCTAGTAGAAATTTTTAATAATAATGAAGTAAATTCTCCATCTGTTACATTATGTGCCGTGTGCTAAATTTGCACAATTTTTCAATCATGTATCGTTAGGTAGGACCTGCTATTATTACTATTTTAATAACGGGAATTTTTTATAACAACTCGACTCTATCCTTCTTTATTCCTACGAAAAAGTAAAATGAAGATGATGAAAGCAAATCAAAATAATGCAATATTTAGCATCATCGCTGACGTTAGCAGACAAAAGAATGTTCACCTTCTTACTTTAAGGCGGTGTAGTTAGCCAAAAACGTGACCAAATTAAGTTGTAAAAGTTCTAAGTTTGACCCATTTAACATATATACTTAGCACACTTACATTAATGAACAATAATAATTAAAACAAATATTAAAAAAAAATGAAGAATTAACATTTTTTACATTTTCCAAGAAAGTTAATGATTGAAAGTGAAAGTATCTAACGATTAGTAGAGCTTTCGCCAATTTATAATTGCTGTACCCTACAAAGAAAGGTCTTCACGTGGGTTAGTACTTTCCTAGAAAGAGATCTTGAGAGTTTGTGGCCAAAGAACTTTCCTAGAAAGAACTATGAGAAATTCCCTTTCTCTTCTATACAAGTGCAACTACATTTAGAAAATTCAAATCTTCGTTAGCAAGAAAACCAATGTGACAAAAAAAAAAAAGAAGAAGAAAAAAGTTTATTTTAATTCATACATATCATCATAAGTTTGTAACAATATGTTCTTAAAGAGTTTGATTGATGGCTAGAAAGCTACTTTGTGAGGTACGGAAACTCATCCAACCGTTATATTATGGGATTAATACTGTTTTGCCAGATAATTTTAACACTTTGGATGACACATTAAGTGTGTGGGAGAAAATGATTCGATGGAGGCGTTG